GGCTGCATGAGCTTGCTGGTGGTCCCCAGCGTCCCAGCTGCGTGCGCTGGGCACCGCCACCACCACGCGCGGCATCAGTGCTCGGTGGTGACCAAACAGGGCAGGGGAGACCTCCCGGTCCCTCCGCAAAGAGGTGGCAAAGGGGCTGAGCCCAGCCCCATCCGCTCCCATCTTTTTTTAGCCCCGGTGCTTCCCTGCCCTGCAGCTGCCCAGCCCCGGAGCAGGTGCTTCGGGCTGGTGATCTATCCGCACGTCAGCATCCCGGGAGCGTCTCCAAGCAGTACGCAGGCAAGGGCAGGGGAGCGGGATGGATGGTTTTCCTCCAGCGAGGGATGCCAGCCCCGCGTGGATGTGCCATCCCATGGCTGGAGAGGGCCATGGGACTTGGGTCGCACCTTCAAGTAGGGCGGTTGAAGGATGCAGCTCCCTGATTCTTCCCTGACCTTCTCGAGATCTTCCCTCTCCAGATGTAGCACCAAGACTTCTGGTCCTCCCAGCATCTGCTCTTCTCCAGGACCTCCTGAGCCCCGCAGGCAGGGGAGAGGGAAAGCTCTGGGCTGGAGAAACCTGGAGGAAGAGTTTAACTTGACTCCGGACTTGCATCTTCATCGGTTTTTCCATCTCCCTCCTTGCAGAGCCGGGAGAAGAGCAGCTGCCCGCAGGCACAAGCCCTTCGCTCCCAGCCCTGCGGTGCCAGGGGGAGGTGCCCAGGCCGGGTGCTCCCACGCTCCAGGCGGCAGGTACTGCTGAAAGAGGAGCCTGCCTTGAATTTCCAGCAGTGCTTTGCATTCCCAACCTGCTTGTTTTTTCCCAGAGCCTGGAGAAACCCCCTGAGATCGCTAGCTCCGAGTGGTCCGGCCGGGACCCCGCATCCATCTCACACACAGTTTGCTCTGCCCACAGATTTGAAGTGCGCAGTTGGGAAGCCTTCAGCTCTCCCTCCCTTTTCCCTTCCCCTCCCCACTGGAATCCGGCTTTCGGGATCAAAAATACTACTGGCTATTTTTAAAGCGTCGACTTAGCCCCCTCTCCTCCAGCTCGCGGTGACGGATCGGGCTGTCGTAAAGTTCAGCTGTTTTCTGCTCCCTCCGCACTGAGCCCAGGACGTTAACAGCCGTGATTCCCTCCTCGCTCCTGCCCGCAGCCAAACCCACACCAGGGACCAAGATTCGCGTCCAGAGGGTCTGGGGACATTTGGTGGCCCGTCCTGTGGCTGGTCGGAGTGGCATTTGCTGGGGTAAGTGGAGCACTGGGACCCTCGGCAGAGGTTTGGGGAGGGAGGGATGAGGGCTTTATGCCAGGCACGGCATGGAAAGAAAGGTGGATGCTTTGGGTTAGAGCAGGCACTGCACAAACGGCCCGTCCGCTGCTGTGGCTGTACCTGGAGAGAAGCGAAATCCCTTCTTCCAGCTCTCCGGCAAATCCTGCCTTCCCCAGGCCCCTCTTCCGACTCCGATCCCAACCCTGCAGCTCGGCTCGGCTCTCCCCTGCAGCATCCCGGGGGATGCTGGCCGCTGTGCCGTGGTCCGGGGAGCACAGGGATGACACTCACGGCTCGGCTCATCCCCTGCCTCCAACCTCAAGAGCCTGGCTGATCCCGCTCGCCCAGGGATGCTCGGGAAAGGCTGGCGGAGCTCTCCCTGATGGGGGCTTAACCGAGCCGCGTTCAGGAGCAATGCTGGTGGGTGGCAGAAGGGTTTGCTCGTGTCCTCAGCTCTGGTGGAGACAGATGAGCTCCTTGGAGACCTGATGCCTCTTTAGATACGTTTTGCTGAGTTTCCCCATCCACACAGGCCATTTTGGGTGCAAAACCACCTGGGTTCGGACCGGGGCTCCTGGCAGCAGTGGGTTTGCAGACAGGGCTGATGCCAGCTCAGAGCCAAACTGGGGCCGGTCTCCCTGAGCAAATTAAATCTCCAAAGCACTAGGGTTAAACCAAACCCTCGCCAAACTCATTGCATTAGTGATGGGGCTAGATGGGGGCTGGAGCCGAGCTGTGACCACGCTGTCCCAACCTTCAGAGGGATGACGTTGCTCCAGATGACAATCCACGTGGGTGACACTCACAGGCAGAGCTGCACCTTACCTGCTTTGCACCAAAAATTACGCAGCTGCCACGGTCAGGGTCTCTTCCCGCCGCCTGGGGCATTGCAGTGCTTGGGAAAGCCTCGTCTTTTCAGGCAGGAGGGTCTGGGTGAGGCCAGCTGCTCTGCAGCCCCCTCGGTGGCAGGATTTGGTGACCCAGCTGGCGGGATCCAGTGCTTTGTGCCTCCTAAACCTCCAGCTGATTTTGCTGGTGAGAAGGGGGGGGAGTTGGCTTTCGGAAGCGGTTTGATCACAGATGCTTTTGTCTTGGTACCGTGACTCTCTGCCAGCTCGGGAGAAATTCCCAGCCTCCTCAGCCCAACATATGCCTGCAGCCCCCAGCTCGGAGAGCTGCTGCGCACTGACGGCATTAAAGCAATCGATGGCTCCATTTCACGGCACGGCCAGGAT